CTAATTATGAGGATATTTAAAATTAAATGAAATTCAGAAGAAAAAAAAATTTAAACGAGTATTCAAAAGTATTTTAAATATAAAAATAATTTATTTAGATAGACGACAGTGGCGCAATTAGGGGGGGCTGGGGAGGGCTTAGCCCCCCCAAGCTCAAGATTAGCCTCCCAAACCCGATGGTCACAAACATGATGGTAATGACACAAATTAGCCATCCGCCCTCCCAAAGCCGAGCGCCCTGGGCTGTTTTTAGGCGTTCCAATGCATTAGATTTTTGCGCAACTGAACTGTTCGTTTTTCCTCTCCCCTTCCCTCTCCAGCACCTGCTATTTTATGGGGGCATGAAACACATGAAGCTTAAAGTAGGGTGCGTTCCAGTGACACAACCTGAGGACACAACAGTTTTTTAACCCTTTCGTCTACTGGTCCGTGTCTGTTTGTGCACTTAGGCGGAAATTAATTCAACAGAACTTGTTTCAGTTTTCAAATTGTTTTTAGTACCGATTTAAGTAGTTTAAGAAGGTTCAAACTCAATATATTTTTACTTACATATTATGTATGTATGTACAGGGTCTGTTCCTTATAATTAGTGCGGCTCCTACAACTTAAACAAAAGAAAAAATTAAAAAAAGTTGAATACAAAAGTTGTAGGGTTTTATCTCTATTATCTTTCGTACCTAGGCAAATGACAGGTGCCAACTGTAATAATGACAGCACTTGCATTTTTTTGAATGGAATACCCTGTATATTTCTAGCTAGAATGATAGATTTTTTTCTTCTGATTTCAAATATACCATATATGTTGATTCAGCTGTTTTTACGCTATTCAAGTTTAAAAATGCATTTAAATTACCTACCCTAAATTAGGTCTGTTCCCGGTTTCTAGTATTAATGATGAGGCTTGCTCAATGCAATTTTAAAATGAAATAGCGCACTTACCAATTATCAACATATATATTTGGAATCAGAAGAAAAAGATCTATCATTCTAGCCAAAAATATACAGGGTGTTCTATTTGAAAAAATGCAAGTGCTGTCATTATGACAGTTGGTACGTGTCATTTGCCCATTTTGACATGTGCAAAACATAATAGAGAGAGATAAAACCCTACAACTTTTGTTTTAAACTGTTTTTTTGTATTTTCTTTTGTTTAAGTTGTAGGAGGCGCACTAATTATGAGGAACAGACCCTTATATAAAAATGTCTTTTATAACTTTGTTCTTTTTTTTTTTCAACTAAGACCGTAGATTATATCGAAAAACAAAGTTTATAGCAGAGTATTTCCAAATGTCAAATAAAAAAGTTTTAAGAAATTGTCAAAAGTTTTTAACTAAGTCATTCTTAGGCATACAGAGTGTGTCAAAAAAGTGCAGCAGTATGAAGTTATATTTTTTTAAATGGAACACTCTGTATATTGTGCGCCTATTTATCAGTCCCGTTTAACCTGATTTCAACGATATACGATTTGATATGTTTATCTCTCGGTTTATCTCCAATAGAAATAGGGAAAAACGCGAAAATCCCTTCGTAGGTCTCTCATGTTATTTTTGTAAAAATCATAATAATAATTTAGACATCTGGATTTATTATAATATTTTACATTGTATATTATTGAATACAATTTGAACATTAAATTGTTTATAAAAAAAATTGTCTGAAGCTTAAATGGTGTAATTTTTCTTTTTTCAATATGAAACCTCGAAAGGGGTTTTCATGTTTTTCCCTATAACTATTGAAAATAAACAGATCAAATCGTGTATCGTTGAAATCAGGTTAAAAGGAACTAGCAAATAAGTGCACAATATAAAGGGTGTTCCATTTAACAAAATCAAACTTAACACTGCCGCACTTTTTTGATGCACCCTGTATGCCTGAAACTGATTTGGTTAAAAACTTTCAACAATTTCTTGAATCTTTTGTATTTGACACTTTTGTCAAAAATTTCAAATGAAAAAGTTAGAAGGGGGTGACATTTATAATAGATCACCCTTTACTGTAGTAAGTTTTTCAAACATCATACTGTCACCAAATCGACTTAGACTTATGCCCACTTGCACCAACCGCAACTTAAATTGGTCTTAGCTAAGTCAGGTCTTAATTTTAAGTTAGCCTTTAATTTAATTTACTTGCACCATAGACAAATTATGCCGACTTGGCAAAGTCGGACTTAGGGCGGGTATTATAAAACTACTTTAAGAGTTAACTTAAAGTTAACTTCTGGAATTACATGTAATTCAAAAAGTTAACTTCAAGTTAACTGTCAAAGCAGTTTTATAATACCCGCCCTTAATAATTTGGGTTGATGGCAACGTTGCGAAATCCTCAGTAAACAGACAGAAGTGTGACAAAAGTTGACAAATAGTCTTTAGTATTTTGTGGTTTTTCGGTGTTTGGGTGTTTCTCATTGAGAGTTTGAGCAATGGAAGAACGAAGAACCAAATTCTAAAAAGCAGAGGGGCGCGAATTTTACATTAGCATAAAAGGAGGCCTTAATTAATATAGTGGCAAGACTTAAAAATATTGAAAATAAAAAAACTGATGCTCAATCCATTCATGAAAAAAACGAGGCCTGGGAGAATGTATGCAGAAATTTCAATGCTGCTTCACCGGGCATGAGAGAGAGAGAAGTTTGGATTCTTTGAAACAGTATTATAAGAATCAAAAAGAAGATCTACAGAAATAAAATAAGATATATGAGAAATTTATAGGTTATTACGGGTTAAATTCTTTGTTAGATCCCACCTTAGGGCCGGTTTCTCAATAGCGAGTCACCCCCGGGTTAAGCATAACTCCAGGGTAAACATAGCAACTCGACACGCTTACCCTGGAGTTAAAACCACTGGAAGTGACTCGCTATTGAGAAACCGGTCCTTAATGGGTTCTAACAAAAAATTTAACTTAACTTAACCTAACTTGAGAGTGCGCTTCTCGATGCTGAAAATCGCGAGTGCGCCTTTGCTATTTTAATAAAAACATTTGCTTCTAGGAAATTTTAACCGATAACTTTTTTCAAGGATAGGTTTATGTGCGTGTTTGACCAGTAAAATTTTTTTGATTTTTCTCATTTTATGAATTTTTTTTTTTTTTTTTCAAAAAATGAAAAAAAATTAAAAAAAAAAATACTGGTCAAGCAAGCACAAAAGTACATTCTTAAAAACAGTTTTTTTCTATTTTGGTGTCATATCGAAGTCTTTTCGACACTAAAAGTAGTTTCGAAAAGAAGCTCTTTGTGACATTCCTTTTTTACTTATCGAAGGTTGGTAACACTGGCTGACTGATGGCCATCGAACTGTCATTTGCAATTTTATAATAGAAGATTTCTATATTTGGCATGTAGTTTTACCAACCTTAACATATGAAATCAGGAAATATGAGAATAAAATGTCCAAGAAAAATTTGTTTTTTTTAATTGAACAATACCAAAATAGAAAAAATAGTATAAAATATTCGTTTCATAAGACATTTTATCGCACTCGCCCTTTAGAAAACTCGCCTCCGGCTCGTTTTCTAATATAGGGCTCGTGCAACAAAATGGCGTCTTATGAAACTTGTATTATAATGTACTATTGTTAGAATTCCCTAGATGCAACTGTTTTTATAAAAACAGTATAGTCGCAAACGCGAAATACCTATTTTTTCAGCATCGAGAAGCGCACTCTTAAGACTCAATTTAAATTTATTTTTTGTCGTTCATAAAGAACTTTAATTTAATTTAAGATTTTATATATTCTGCCAATGATACATGACGTATGCCAAAATTCGCGTTTGCGCAATGCCTTTAATCTACATTAATTTAAGGAAAAGATAGATGTTGGCGAACTTCTTGTAAAGTTAGGTTATATCTTAAGTTAAGTGGAGCTGTATGAACGCCGTCGTTAGCCTGCATATTCCGAACTTCTTAGGTTAAAGTCTGTTTTTTTTATTTTAAGATAAAAGTCAAAATGACATTATGTTGGCAATACAATGTAAAATTGTCAATGCTTTCAATTTTTTAATGTAGAAAAGGCTTGTGTTGCCAACATAATTACTAAATTTTTGACTTGGGGAATTATCAATAGTAATATAACTAGTGCAATGGAATTTATTGATAATTTTTGGGAAATTTGCCAGAATGCAAATTTGTCGAAAATTATAAATATATTTCCATTGCACGAGTTGTATTTAATGAGAGAATTTCATAAATCAAAACTTTAAATTTTTTGTCAAAAAATGTCAAAACACCAGTTTTCGCACCAGTTACTATGCAATTATCTGATAATTTGCACTAGTGCAAATTATCGCGTAATTCAAATCTGATTGGTTCAAATCAACAATCAAAACCTGTCAATTTATTGTAGGAATACCAGTTTTGACAGATGTATGAAATTCTCTTTAAAAAAAACACAGACTTTAGGTCAGTTTAAATGTTAAGTTAGATTCAATTTTCTGTTAGAACCCTCCTTTATATTATGTTAAGTCGAATTTAAGGCCTGGATTTTGGCGACTTTAGAAAATTCAATTTAAGCCTACTTTAAGTCTAGCTTTTCTGCTGGTGCAACTGAAATTTAGAGTTAAGTCTCGGCTTAAAGATAAGTCCGACTCAAGTTAGTCTTAAAATGTTGCCGCAAGTGGCCAATGAGACCCGGGGCTTAAGCCCTCCCAAAACCAACAAGCTAGTTGCGCCCTTGATAGACGATTCAAGTGAGACACCCCTGTACCTTGCCTGTACCTATTATGTTAAAACAGGTACCTACATATTTTTTAATTAGATGTTCTACAAAAAAAAAAACAGTTCAACAAACCTACCTAAATAAACATCATCTTAATATTTATTCAACAATAACCTCGAACTACGAACATTGTCGCTTTTTGACCCCTATCAATACGTGTCCAAAAAACACCAGCAGGACGACAAAAAAATAATACCTACATTTCAAATAACAGTTAAGACAAAATTAATAACGTTCTAGTACTAAGCCAAGCATAACTTCTAGTTAATTAACGACTCATATGCTACTTACGGTTAATTGTGCGAACAAAAATTGCGGGAATATACAATAACTCGTTAACACTCTGCTCCACACAAATTACACCCGGCGAATGAACGCTTTATAGAAAGGACGGGGCCATATGAAGGTTACGTGGAAAGGATTCGGTACGATGTTGCCAAATGATTGTTTTAGTATAAATAATTATTTTTGTTCTAATAAATCATCATTATTATCCACAAATATTCTTTATTTTTCAGACAGTGTTTAGACATCGGGTGTTCAAAAAAAAAAAACAATCAAAGATTGCTATGGTTTTTTAAACGTATGTCTTAGCAATATTATTTTGTCAATGAAGTTTAATGTCAAAATGTCATGTCAAGAAACCTGACCAATAAAAAACAATAATGCGACGTACGTTTTGGTGATCAAAGCAATCTTTGATTGTTTTTTTTTTTTGAAGACCCGATATTATAGGGATATGCGATACGAGGCATCAAACTAATCCTCTATCTCTCTCTGGATCTTTGTACCTACACAAAACTAATTGATCCTGGAAAAGATACCTACCTACCGACCTGTGGAAACGCTGTGGATCAAGAAGATGAATTTTTTTAGTAGTGTGAAAAATTCATCTTCTTGATGAATTTTTTTAGTAGGTAACAATTATTTTTTTGAAATTCTTTCTATAAAAGTGTTAAGTGTTATTCTCTAGCGCTTCAGAACAATTTGGAAACTTCAGAACCATTTTACAATGCTCCAAAAAATTCAAAAATCTATTAACAATTTCCAAAACAGTTTAGAACAATTCAGATGTTGAAAACCCATTTTAGGACTCCAAAACACTCAAACAGTCTATATGTACGGGTGTTCCGAAACTATTGTGCCAAAAATTGAGGAATGATAGATCTCGCCAAAATAAACGGTTTTTACTCATAAACCCATGGGCGCATACGCTTTGGTTAGGTGATAATAGCACATTACAGTCCGCACTGTGGTAGCCACCTTGCACACGGAGAAACGTGTTTGAATAAGCAGAACCTGTATTATTAAATAATACAGAACCCAAAGAATGCTTGCTGTATTTATTTGAAATAATGATTAACATCAAAATATGCTCAAAACTACGACCACCCGCCTCAATGCATGTGTAACAGCGTTGTAGCAGAAATATCGAGTAGATTTCTGCAGGAAACCCTTTTCGAAACTGTTTTCCTGGTATGCCAGACAAAACATAGGGTACCAATACGACAGACCACCACCACATTACCTTCTAGCCTTAAGGGCACATCTCAACGAAACCGAAAGATCTGGAAAGAGTGATTGTTAAGGGGGCATGGACTCCACGTTCACCAGACCTGACAGAATGCGACTTTTTTTTATGGGGTCATATCAAAGCTCCTGTTTACGACACTCCGGTTGAAACTCCGGTTGAAACAGCTAGAAGAAGTTAGTAGGAAGGATTGTTGCAGCAGCTGCTGAAATTCTCGAAACACCATGAATTTTTCAACGTGTTCAGGAGGCTATGCTACGGCGCTGTCACGCACGTATGGAGATGGGTGGTCGTAGCTTTGAGCATCTTTTGCTGTGAATCATTGTTTTTAGTAAATACTGCAAGCATTCCTTGGGTTTTGCATCATTTAATAACACAGTGTCTGCTTCAAACACGTTTCTCCGTGTGTAAGGTGGCTACCACAGCGCGACCTGTAATGTTCTATTATCACATAACCAAAGCGCATGCGCCTATGTGTTTATAAGTAAAAAACGTTTATTTTGGCGCGATCTATCATCCCTTAATTTTTGGCACAATAGCTTCGGAACATCCTGTAGAATCTTGAAAACATTTCGAAAAGCGCCAGAATCTTAGGACTCAGGTTTAAAGTTACAAAACGCCTTTCAGATGGTGTTCAAGAGCGAATTTAAATTGCTGTAGAACTTTAAATTTTTAATAAGCATCCAAGGCCGTTAAAATCCAAATTAGAATTTTCAGGAGCATTTTACAACAATTTAGAAACTTTAGAGTTATTTCAGAACAATTAGGATTCAATTTAGAACTAGAAACCTTCCAGAACTCTTTCGAACTAATTTAGGACACTTTCGAGCTTCAATATTATAGCGCTCTGAAATAGATAGGTACTTAAAAATCTGTCAGAACAATTTAGAAATTACTGAAAAAACTCTAATATGATCCAGAACTCTTCAAGCCAAGTTAGAACACTTTAGAACTTCTATAAGCCATTCAGAACGTTCCAGAACACTTTCCAGCAGTCTTTTGAAAGGCTTCAGAACAATTTAAAAACCTTAGAATTATTTTATAGAGCCTAGCGCCTGGAATAGACAAAAATTGACTGTTATAAAATGAGTAATAATAGGGAAATATTATTGAAAATCATGTCCTACAGGCCCCGGGAATTTGTCCCGTCTACCCCCCCCCCCTTTTGTAGGGCCTGAGAAAATGTTTGTCTTTCAATTCAAATTCTTGAATTTTTATAATTTTTCCTATTCCAGGCTCTTGATTTTTCCTTATTTCTTTATTCTAAATTCTTAATTTTCTTTTGGCTCTTGAATTTTTTCATTCCAAGTTCTTCATTTCTCATTATTCCCGCATTTTAGAATTTCAGGCTGTTGATTTGTTTTTCAATTTTAACTCCTGGCTCTTTTGGAAGACGTTGGGTTTTCTAACCATACGACGTCTTTAAGATGCCTTCAAGACTAAAATACGTCTTGAATTTCGTTTGTGGACATCTTAGGGACGTCTTTAAGATGTCTCTGTGCTGTCTGGAATACCATCGATCTGTTTGATTGGAGGTAAAATGAAGCTTCTCGTGGACCCAATGCTTGGCATAGGCCGTCGGCGGAGAAGCGTTTGCGTTCAAAAACCCGGTATTGAGGTATAATTTATTGAGACTAGTATCAGATGATTCAGCATATTTTTCTGCATATGAAATCGAAATGGACGACTTTTTTCATTGGTCGAGAGCCAAGTTGGGAGCAAAAAACTAAAAATATACGGAAACTAAAATTTCCAACTTTAACCTCGTATAACTTCTAAACCGCTTAAGGTAATAGAATGATTTTTCTTCTAGATTCTAGACAAAAATATTCTCTTTAATATGGTGTATATTTTATTCGAAACATATCAAAGTAGAGCTCAAAAAATCAGTTATTTCGTAGACACGGCGCGATTGAATAAAATGTATGTTTGCTTTAACCTGCGATAACTCCTTTATATATTGGAGTATTCAATTAGTTTTTTGCTCAAAAACTGGCAAATTTAATTGGATTTTTTTCGTCTCGATTATATACCGACCTATTTTCAGTAATAAACTCAATGGAGCCGTTTAAACACAACAAAGCGCGGTCTGGCGGCAGAAGTTGCGTGGCTCCCTTCTCATTCCAGCTGCCAACTGACAACCCCTGGTATGAATTAAAACACTACGTGCGATGCCTAGACTGCATGACAGTCAATTTTCCTTGTTTATGGAACTTTGTGTTCTATATTTATGAAAAGTCTAGTTCATCGGGTTCTCATATCATCAGTAAGTAGTAACATAAAAAGCTAATTGAATATTATCGATAATTTTTGGAAAACTTGTAAGTACGAATGCACTTAAGTTAAAAAAGAGAACGAGTGAACGCCAAAATCCCGTAATTTCAAATGTGATTGGTCTAAGTCAGGATCTACCACTCTACCACTCGTTCAATTAATTGTTATATTCAACACAGGAATGAAATTGGAATTATCCCTCTTCTACGCTTACGTAGGTAGGTATAGTATTTATAATCTGAACTGAAACACTAAAAAAACATCTAGTCGGCATACATCAAACAAATAAAGGACATGGGCGTCACATAATTTCCATTTCGTTAAATGGTGATAATCAATGTAAAAAACACAACTAAATAATACGTGGAATAAAACAGCAAATAATATACATATAAATTGGGATGACACTAGTTACTAGTTATAGATAAAGCATATATAGTCTAGTCAGCCAGGCACCCGCATCCTTCCCGAAAAGAAGAAAAGTAAGAAAAGTAAGTAGCCCACCCCAATAATTCAATCTATAGGCGCGTGCCGACCTAAATTATTATTTTGGGCTACTGTCGCGATATTTCGTCGCTGCTTATATTTTGTACAGGAAAACTTTACAATAGATTTTCTATGAAATTAAGAGAAGAGAGCGATGTGATGTTGAAATATCCTCGTATAATGCAGTGTTTCAAGTCAGAATAAAAATACTATACTTCTTTAAATTTTTTCATTTTTTAGGCGTACTAACATTGACGTTGACGTTGTTTGTGTTTTATGTTGGAAAACATTAACGGCGGAATCACCTAGCTTTTTAAAGAGCCAACGAAACAGGGCTACTTGACAATTTTTTCTGCAGCAGAAAAAAAAGATGCTGTTTCGAAAGATTCAAATACCTATCATAAAAGTTGCAGAAAATATTTTTGCAGAAAAAATAATATTGGCAAGGTAGTGAAATTAAATAACTAACTCAAACATAACCAAAGTATTCCCATCAAGCAGTGGTCATAGTGGTAGGAAGAAGTTCAATATAAAAGCTGACTGCTGGGTTTTTAATAAAAGCAGCACCAATAAAACGAAAAACTTAATATAATATCTTAATAGATGTACTAATGTACAGGTACAAGGAGTACTACCCGAGAAAAGATTTTTACAAGCGCTATACAAATAATGATGTTATGCAAGGTAGAATGAATTTGTATACTGATCTTTTCGCTGCGGATGCAAAATATCACAGTGTATTTGAATCTTTCGGGATTAGCGTTTCTTTATTTTCTTCGTGACAATATCTGTGAAGAAATAGCATCTTCTCTTTTATCTGCTGCAGAAAAAATGGTCGCGAAGCACTGTTTTGTTGGCTTTTTCAAAAACACAAACAATATCCATGACGTCAATGTTAGTCCGTCTACATAATGTAAAAATTTGAATTAGTAGCTACGTAAAGCGTAAAAAAGGGATACATTCATTCTCATTCATCTGTTGAATGTTCTAATATCTATATGAATAGATCCTGACAGACCAATCACACTTGAAATTACGGGATAATTATTATAGATAGGTACCGATAACTTATTATCGGCTCAGAGAACCACCAACCTATTTAATTAATTTTTAAAGTTTTGACTTGCACTCGTTCTCTTTTTTAACTTAAGTGCGTTCGTACTTACAAGTTTCCCAAAAATTATCGATAATTT